TGCCCGGTCGCCCACGCTGGGTGCCCATCTCCGCGGCTGTCCCTGCGCGTCCCCTCCCGCTCCCCAGGCTCTGGCTCTCACTGCTGACTTTCTCCTTTCCCTCCCCGGGACTTCTCGTGCCCCTTTCCCTCCCCCGAGCCTATGGCCCTCTGGCCGCTGCGTGACCGCCTCGGCCTGGCCCAGTCCTGCCTCTGGCCCCCAGTGGAGCCCCGCTGGCTTCATCGGGGTCTCCTGGAGGTCCCAGATGTGGGCATCTTTGCTACCGCCCAGAGGCGGATGCCAGCCCTCCCATCTCCATCAGCACGTGAGGAAACTGAGGCAGGGACGTCACCAGCTCAAGGTCACAGCCAGCGTGAGACAGGCAGGACAGATCACATTTAAACCTCATGCTCGAGTTTCCAGACTGAACTTCTCGCTTGGGTGACTCAGTCCACATCCTGTGACGGCCGCCGGCCGGGCACATTCCTACTGCAGGGTGCTGCCGGCCTCCCCCAGCAAGGAGGGCTTCTCCGCCCCCCTCGTGCCAGGCAGGTTCACCAGCGTTTTCAAGCCCATCTGGCCTTCACAACAGTGTGAGGGAGGCCACGCTGATCCCCATCCCGCCGAGGGGCTTCAGGACTTGCCCTCCGTCAAGCAGCTGGAAATGCGGAGCACAGTGCGAGCTGCAGGTCTCCAAAACCTGCGCTGTGCTTCCAAAAGGCATCTCCTGGCTAGAGGCTTCTTTCTCATCCTCCTCCTCTCCTGTTCTTGGTGCCCTGGAGACACTGAGCTCATGTCCTGGGGAAGAAGCTTGTGGTCCTGTCCTAGCTTAGCGGCTCAATTTCCCCGCCTGTGCCTCTAAATGCTGCCCGATCAACCTAGATGGTGGCACCTCAGTCCCTGGGGTGTCCTCACCAGGGCCATCCTGGCGACACACCTCCCCTGGCAGCCACAGACACCCGCCTGGGCCGGGCCTGCCTCCCCCGGTGGGTGAGGGGAGCCCAGCCAGCGCCTCGCCCTGTCATTAGGGAAAGTTTAGCCTCGGGCGGACACGCTGACACACAGCCTGGAGCTGCTCAGAAGGAAAACACGCGTGGTCCCCGGGAGTGGGAGCAAGGAGCTGCAACGCTCCTTTGCTGCATGCCGGTCAGCCACATCCTCAGATACCCTGGCGAGGCCAGCAGAAGGGCAGATGCCATGGCCACTCGAGGGGTGGGAGGGGGCAGGTGCCACGTCTCCCAAGCAAGGGTGGCAGCTTACATAAGTGGTGCTTGTGTTTTTCAGTGCGTGGCATGCCTGAATGTCCCTGTCCTGGCTGTGGCATGGCGGGCCAGAGGCTCCTCTTCCTCACTACCCTTGCCCTGGGACTCCTGGGAAGGGCTGGGGGTTCCCAACCGGCCCCCCGGAGCCGGGGGGCCGCAGCAGCCTGTCGCCTGGACAACAAGGAAAGCGAGTCCTGGGGGGCCCTGCTGAGTGGGGAGAGGCTGGACACCTGGGTCTGCTCCCTCCTGGCGTCTCTCGTGGTGGGGCTCAGCGGTGTCTTCCCGTTGCTCGTCATGCCCCTGGAGGTGGGCACCATGCTGCGCTCGGAAGGTGGGTGGCCCTCCAGGGGTGTGCGGGGTGGCCGGCGGCACGGGAGGTCTGCCACTCCTGCTCTCGCGAGACCCCCGTCTCCCATCTGTGTGTCTGACGAGGGCGGGGATAGAATGGGATTCCTCACCTTGCGCCTGCTCCCCAAGGCTCTCCCCAAGAACAGTGGGCCAGCCTTTCCAGGGAGCAGGGCCCGCCCCTGGGGGGGCCTGGGAGGCGGGCACGGCATGGGTGGGAGGCTTTTCCTCACCTGTCCTTTTGTTTTATGTGCACGTACTGCCCGCTCACAAAGAATATGCAGAAGATGAGCTGGGAGCTGCTAAAGCCTCAGGTGCTATCCTCCACCCAAGAGGTGACCTGGTGGGTCTGGACCAGGGCCCCGGGTCTGTTACTATGAGTGGCCCAGAGGCATGTGCTGCCTGCTAGCCGGGAGCTGTTCACTGGGCAGATGGTTCCCGAGCATCACTGTGCCAGGCTCTGGGCTGAGGGCACCTCGGCTGTGAACAGAGCCCCCACAGGGGCCCGCTGCCAGGCTGCGTCTTGGAGGAAGATGGCCCGGCGAGGTCAGCGTAGGGAGAACTTGGATTATTAGTTCCATCTTACAAACGGTTCTCTGATCAGCTCAAAGTCACACAGCTTGGAAGTAGCAGTTTCCCCTGGGATCCTATCCCACACCCAGCTGCCTCTGTCCTCCGGAGGTCAGTCTCTCTATCAAACCTAAGGGGGTGGATGTGACTCTCAGGGCACTTCAACTTAGGATGCCTCAAATCCCCAAATCTCTTCTGAGAGTGACAGTGACTGAGACGAGAAAGATTCCCATCTAATGAGCACGGGCTACACATGTTGCATGATTCAAATGACAGATGAGGAAACTCTGTCTCAGAAGTTATCTGCTGGCAGCAGACAGCAGACACTCTTGCTGCTGCCCTGCCCGTTGTACACTTCACAATGTAATCTTTAACAAATCTACTGCCGGGCTCGGTGGCTCAGCCTGTAATACCGTGCCTTTGGGAGGCCGAGGTGAGTGGATTACCTGAGCCCGCGGGTTCGAGACCCGCCTGGGCAACTTGGCGAGACCTCGTCTCAACAATAAATCAAAAATTAGCCGGGCATGGTAGCGCACACCTGTAGTTCCAGCTACTCGGAAGGCTGAGGCAGAAGGATCGCCTGAGCCCAGCAGGTCGAGGCTGTGGTGGCCGTGAGCATGCCACTGCCCTCTAGCCTGGACGACAGAGTGAGACTGCAACTCAAAAGATAAAAAACGAAACAAAACAAAATCTGCCTTTCTTAATGCAAATTAAAAACAACAACAACAACAAAAAGTTATCTGCCCAGGGTCACCAGCTGGTGGCTGGGAAGCTGGGAACCGTGGGGCTCCAGAGCCTGGTCTCAAGACCATGATGTGGTGGTGGCCACACAACCACAGCGGGTCATGTGTCCTGCATACCCAGCCCTGCTGGGCCTGTGGGGGTGGGATCCGGGAAGAGCAAAATCCCAGAGCCAGCCCTCCGGAGACCAGAAGGGGCCCAGTGAGGGCCCAATGAGCTGGGTGGGCAGGCTAGGCAGGGTTCGGCGGGCCAACCCCATCCCCACACCTCTGCCTTGTAGCGGGGGCCCGGCGCCTGAAGCAGCTGCTCAGCTTTGCCTTGGGGGGACTCCTGGGCAATGTGTTCCTGCACCTGCTGCCCGAGGCCTGGGCCTACACGTGCAGTGCCAGCCCTGGTGAGTGGGGTCACGACCGGGACCAAGGGGGTGGGAGTGGGAACCTGGTGCCCATGCCCAGGGACAGCCTAGGCCCTGCCTGCTCTGCCAGGGTGCCCGGGGGAGGGATCCTGGCCGTCCAGCATGAGCTTGCCTGGGAGCGGGGGTCATCAGCCTGGGCCCAGCTGCCCCATCAGCCAGTCCTGGGCCCGCACCCCTGTCACTGCCCTGGACTAGGCCCCATCCCGAGGGGCCCCCTCCGGTGGCCCTGGCTTGGCCCGCCCTGTCAGTGCTGCCCCCTGCAGGTGGTAAGGGGCAGAGCCTGCAGCAGCAGCAACAACTGGGGCTGTGGGTCATTGCTGGCATCCTGACCTTCCTGGCGCTGGAGAAGATGTTCCTGGACAGCAAGGAGAAGGAGGGTATGGGCCAGGTGAGCCCCAAATCCGGGGGCCTGTGGTGTGGTGCCAGGTGGGGCCCCATTCTAGCTGAGCCCTGAAAAGGGGTATCTTGGCCCTCTTTCCTGGGGGCTGTGGAAGGTTGGGCCAGCTGCTTTGAGGATCTGGGGAGTGACACATCAGCCCCTGCTGTGGCTTGTTCTGGAAGACGGATGGTGACAGCAGTTGAGGGGGTTGAGTTGAGTTTGGGGGCAGCCAGCTGGCCACGCGGTAAAGTCTAGCCAGGTAGAAGAGGCTCTCTTGGCTGGGCTCGGTGGCTCAGCCTGTAATCCCAGCACTTTGGGAGGCCGAGGCGGGTGGATTACCTGAGCAGGCGGGTTCGAGACCCGCCCAGGCCACTTGACAAGACCTCGTCTCTACAATAAATCAAAAAGTAGCCGGGTGTGGTAGCGTGCACCTGTAGCTCCGGCTACTCGGAAGGCTGAAGCGGAAGGATCGTCGGAGCCCAGCAGGTGGAGGCTGCGGGGGCTGGGAG